AAGAGTGAATGTTTGGCTGAGCGGCTGGGAGAATAGTCAGCTGTGACCAAGAAGAGGTTATTGGGGTTCAAGGGACCATGGAGTCACGGCAGCAGGGAGTGAGGACTGTTTGTGATGTGTGTGTCTGGCTCGGGTGGAAAGGATGCTGAGAAGAGTGAAGGAGAATCAGGCTGAGGGAAGGAGACGCTCCAGTGGTTTGGAGGTCAGTGTAGCTGATGATGGTGGAGTGATGGTCAGCTGGAGGAGTGGAGACAGGTGAACATGGAGGTGGAGTAGAAGAAGCAGAGCCGGTAGGAGTGGAATGGTGAATGAGATGACCAAGAGGTGGCAGGTCCCGGTCGTGGGCAGGAAGTGGTAAGATATGGTGGCATGTAATGATGAAGGACACTGGAGAGGGGAGCTCATACAGGCGATGAGGTGTGACTCAGAACCAGGAAGAGGCAAGTGGATGTAGCTCAGAAGGACAAGTAACCAGGGAGACAAAGAGGTGAGTAGATGCAGCTTACAGGAGTGCTGATCACGGGGAAGGGAGCCACGATACAATTGTTTATAAACATGCAACGATCTGCTGACAAGAACATGGCAGCTACCGGCTTAAGTGGAGCTGAGTTGATTGCCATCAGCTGTGCTGGGCATGTCTTGTCACCTCAGCTGGTCCAGCCAGTTTTCAGTATTAATACAGGACACAGATGATCTACACATCCCTACTTTAAATTTTAATTTAATTTAGATTTTACATACTGTCCCAACGTTTTCTGATTTGGGGTTGTATATACACCTTTATGTATTTCTGCATTTGATTTTAATGAGTGTAGCTGCAGTAAGACTTCTGGCATGGGAAAACAGCTCATTATTACTTACATTATTACATTATTTGTAGCTATAATAATAATAATATACACCACAATCTGGTGCCATGACCCTGATGCTGCTCTTGACTTTGAATTTCTCCAAAGACTGAAAGCCTGTGCACACAGCTGGAGGAAAATCCTCTGGCCAGCTTTATCGATATTGATGTTGAAGTTACTGTTTACTTTTGGACTGAATTTATGTGGTGAACTAAGAGACAGTACAACTAAGGATGGGTAAAATACAGAGTGTCCTGCTAAAATTCTACCTCCCCTGATCAAACCAATGTAGGACAAGGACCAGACAGTACGACAGTTTTGGCAGTGGGTTTCCCAGACAAAGGCAGTTTCAGCCTAAGGCAATTTGACCACCTGAACAATGTTTGGAAACAAAAGAAAAGGCAGAGGCAAATGCAGAGGCATATGCAATGATGTTCAGAAAATTGGGAAAGGAGTATACACTGTTTAGGACTGATTAGAAAGCATAGAGCATGTGGTGAGAAGGCAGAGAGGAACAAAGATTAGAGGCACAAGTAAGTAGGAACGGAGTGGAGCAAAGAATGTGGGGAAAAAGTCAGGATAAGCATTTGTATGACATGTAGGCAAAAACAAACACATCCCATTTAAAAGAATATACAGTGGATTCAGAAAGTATTCAGACCCTTTTAAGTTTTCCACATTTTGTTATGTTTCAGATTCATCTTAAAATGGATTCAATTAAATTTTTTCCTCATCAATCCACACACAATGCTCCACAGTGATATAGTAAAAAGATGTTTTTGGAGTGTTTTGTAAATGTATTGAAAATAAAAGACTGAAATATCCTATTTACATAAGTATTCAGACCCTTTGCTGTGACACTTCCAATTGAGCGCTGGTGCATCATGCTCCTATTGATTGTCAGTGAGATGGTTCTACAGCTTGATTAGAGTCCACTGGTGCCCAATTTAATGCCATGGATATAATTAGTAAAAGCACACACCTGTCTATATAAGGTGTCACAGTTGGTGGTGTATGTCAAAGTGAAAACAAAGCCATGAGGTCAAAATAACTGTCCACAGATCTGTGAGACAGGATTGTGTCTCGGGGAAAGATACCAGAACATTTCTGCAGCATTGAAAGTGCCCAAGAGCACAGTAGCTTCAGTCATTGGAAGATATTTGGAACCACTACCAGTCTTCATAGATCTGGGGCCCCAGCCAAATGGAGCAATCTGGGATTATGGGCCTTGTTCAGACTGGTAACCAAGAACCCAAGGATCACTATGAATGAGATCCAGAGTTCCTTTCTGGAGATGGGAGAAGCATACACAAGCACAACCATCAGTGCAGCACTCTACCAATCAGGCTTCTATGGTAGAGTGGCCAGGTGGAAGGGATTCCTCATTAAAAGGCCCATGACAGCCTGCTGGGAGTTTGTCAAAGGGCACCTGACGTACTCTCAAAAATCAGGAGCATTCTGTCCCAGACTGATGCTGGACTACTGTGACTCTTTACTAAAAAGACTCCAGTTAATCCAAAATTCTGCAACCAGAGTACTGACAGGAACTAGCAAGAGAGATCATAGCTCTCCTATATTAACTTCTCTCCACTGACACCCTGTAAAATCCAAAATAGACTTTAAAATCCTTCTTCTAACATACAAAGCCCTTAATGACAAGGCTCCATTGAATAAACCCCAATTCCAGTCAAGTTGGGACATTGTGTAAAATGTAAATAAAAACAGAATACAATAACTTGCATATCCGTTTTGACCTATATTTAATTGAATACACCACAAAGACAAGATATTTAATGTTAAAACTGATACATTTTATTGTTTTTTGCAAATATTCATTCATTTTGAATTTGATGCCTGCAATACGTTCCAAAAAAAAGCTGGGACAGGGGTAACAAAAGACTGGGAAAGTTGAGGAATGCTCAAAAACAACCTGTTTGGAACATTCCAAAGGTGAACAAGTTTATTGGAAACAGGTGAGTGTCGTGATTGGGTATAAAAGGAGCATCCCAAAAGGCTCAGTCATTCACAAGCAAGGATGGGGCACGGTTCACCACTTTGTAAACAGTCCAACAGTTTAAGAATGTTTGCAAGGAATTTCGGTATTTCATCATCTACAGCAGTGGTCCCCAACCACCGGGCCGTGGCCCAGTACCGGTCCGTGAGGCATTTGTTACCGGGCCGCACAGAAAGAATAAATAATTTATATAATTTCCATTGCATTGATTTTTAGAGTCTGGAAGATGTTTTATTATGAAAAACAACGGGATTTTCTCAGACATATCATCCACCTGTGCCCCTTGACATGTCATGACGCATGTGTCGGTCATGACGTAACGTGATACGTGGCAAAAAAAATAAGCCCGCAAACTAGCAAAAATGAGTAAAAAACAAACATCTTTGAAGAGCTTCTTTTCAAAGGGGAAAAGGCCAACTGAGGAGCCAGAAGAGGAGCTCACGACCTCCAAGAAAAAGAACACTTCTTTTAACAGACAATATCAGGAATCATACTTAAAATACGGGTTTATCACAACAGGTGACTCTCACGCACCAAGGCCGCTCTGCATGTCTGTGCAACGAGAGGATCAGCTGCTGGAGATCGCAAATGATGGTGACCTTAAACGTACGTTTGAGACAACAACTCTGCCGATGTTCTGGATGAAAATCAAGCCAGAATATCCTGAAATCACCAACAAGAGCACTGAAAACCCTGCTACCATTTCCAACATCCTATCTTTGTGAAGCGGGCTTTTCTGCAGTGACAGAATTACAGAGCAGACTGGACATAAGGGACACATTGCGTGTGTCATTGTCTCCCATGAGCCCTCGATGGGACCATCTCGTTGCAGGGAAACAAGCCCAGGGCTCCCACTGACTCTGCATTATGGTGAGTTGATACAGTGTAGAATTATTGTAATTGCCTAATATAAAGTGCAATTGTTGCATTCAGATTACATACTATGAACCAACAAAGGTTTTGTTATTGGAACCCCTGCACCTCTACCGGGTTCGCGGAAAAATTTTCATGCATGAAACTGGTCCGTGGTACAAAAAAAGGTTGCGGACCGCTGATCTACAGCCCATAATGTCATCAAAAGATTCAGAGAATCCGAGAGAAATCTCTGGATGTAAGCGGCAAGGCCGTAAACCAAACATTGAATGCCTGTGACCTTTGATCCCTCAGGCAGCACTGCATTAAAAACAGACATCATTCTGTAAAGGATATTACCACAAGGGCTCAAGAACACTTTGGAAAACTATTGTCAGTTAACACAGTTCGTCGCAACATCTACAAGTGCAAGTTAAAACTCTACCATGCAAAGTGAAAGCCATATATCAACAACACCCAGAAATGCCACCGGCTTCTATGGGCCCAAGTCCATCTGAGATGGACTGATGCAAAGTGGCAAAGTGTGCTGTGGTCTGACAAGTCCACATGTCAAATTGTTTTTGGAAATCATGGATGTCATGTCCTCTGATCTAAAGAGGACAAGGACATCCAGACTGTTATCAGCGCAAAGTTCAAAAGCCAGCATCTGTGATGGTATGGGGGTGTGTTAGTGCATATGGCATGGGTAACTTCTGCATCTGTGAAGGCACCATTAATGCTGAAAAGTACATACAGGTTTTGGAGCAAAATATGCTGCCATCCAGGTGACGTCTTTTTCAGCAAGACAATGCCAAGCCACATTCTGCATATGTTACACCAGTGTGGTTTCATAGTAAAAGAGTGCGGGTACTAGACTGGTCTCCCATTGAAAATGTGTAACGCAGTATGCAGTCCAAAATACACACTGTTGAGCAACTGAAATCGTACATCAAGCAAGACTGGGAAAGAATTCCACCTACAAAGCTTAAACAATTAGTGTCCTCAGTTCCCAAATGCTCATAAATGTTGGTAAAAGGAAAGGTGATGTAACACAGTGGTAAAAATACCCCTGTCCCAGCTCTTTTGGAACATGTTGCATGCATCAAATTCAAAATGAGTGAATATTTGCAAAAAACAAAGTTTTTTTTAGTTTGAGCATTAAATATCTTGTCTTTGTGGTGTATTCAATTAAATATGGGTCAAAAAAGGATTTGTAAGTCATTGTATTTTGTTTTAATTTACATTTTACACAGTGTACCAACTTCATTGGAATTGGGTTTTGTATCTTAAAGACCTCGTAGAGCCTTATCATCCTAACAGAGCACCTCACTCTCAGAGTGCAGGTCTACTTGTGGTTCCTAGAGTCCACAGAAGTAGAATGGGAGGCAGAGCCTTTAGCTATCAAGCTCCTGTGGAACCAACTCCCAGTCTCAGTTCGGGAGGCAGAACCCCTCGCTACCTTTAAGATTGGACTTAAGACTTTTCTTTTTGATAAATCTTATAGTTAGGGCTGGATCAGGTGGCCCTGAGCCTTCCCTTAGTTATGCTGCTATAGGCCTAGGCTGCTGTGGGGCCCCATGATGCTCTGAGTTTCTCTCTTATCCTTTCTCTTATCCAGGCTGTCAGAGTTGCAGAGATTATGATATTTTTGAAATAGTTCATTTTCTTAAATGAGTATGGTAGGAAGGCAAGGTCTGTAACTGAAGTATTTTTGCATGGATTTTGTTCTAGTTCTAACCACAAGCTATTACAACTATCCTTCTGAATCCATTTAACTAAATATTGTAATTGATTAGCTAAGAAATAATACTCAAACTTTAGTGCTTCTAGGCCACCTTGTGATTTATTCTTCTGGGGTGTTGACAGGGAAACTTTGGGTTTCTTATTATGCCAGTAAAATTGTGAAGTTAGAGAATCAAGTGATTTGAACCATTTATCTGTTGGTGTTGTGGGAAGCATTAAAACAGGTAGTTAATTTGTGGTAAAGTTTTCATTTTGACTGTAGCAGTTCGGCCAATGAGTGACAGTGAGAGGTTGGACCAGCTTTTGAAATCATCTTCTATCTTTTTTAGTAGAGGGGAGTAGTTAAGGTTAAAAAGTTCTGGCAGCCTAGCGGAAATACAGATGCCTAAATATTTAATGTTGCCAGTGAGAAGTGGTAGGGGACAGTCTTGAGCTGCAGAATCCCAGGCATCTTCAGAGAGTGGCAATATGGTGGATTTATTCCAGTTTATGGTGTAGTTAAAAATCCTGGAGAATGTATTAATAATGGAGAAAGTTTCTCATAGTGAATTGTAGGGTAGATATAGTAGTAAATCATCCACAGTTGTAACTATTTAGCCTAGTATCTGTTATCACTTTTTATCTATAATGGAGAACCTTAGCTAGTAGCTACTTAAAGTTAATAACGAAAACAATTACAATGACTTCTGTTTTTGACAGCAAGCACAGTTTTCAAAACCAACATCAGCTTTAAAGTCCTGCATTGTTACTGAGTTGTAAACACTTCATTGTAAACAGATATTAGTACAGCATCACAGGCTATAACACAACTTCCAAAAGAAAAGTCTTCCTCAGAGAAGGATACATTTTAAATGTACCTGTAGATAATTTACTGTATAACAGGATTAGGGTTAACCCATACAGCATCTGATTCATTTAGGAAGTATTCATGCAGTTTGCAGTGAGACTGTAGAGTAGCAATTTATCTTTACCTGTTGACTCTCTTCATAGCAGAGTTGTCTGGTTGCCTTTATCTGTTGTACCAGCCTTTCTTTATGTCTTTCTAATTTAATCAGAGTCTCTTCCAGCTCCTTGTGGTCCGATTGCTGCTCCTGAAGCTCCAGATTCTCCACTGCCACAGCATTCTCCAACTCCTACAATATTACACACACACATACACTCCGCTGTGTTTTCATTCCTTGTGGGGACTTTACATTGACTTGCATTCATTTTCTGTAAACTTATCTGTAGCAGCTCAGTACTGGGGAAGTTTGCATGAATTTGACCTCTGAAAACAGGAGGGGTGTTATTCTTGGGGAACTACTAAAAGTTACTACGGTCTGAGTTGCCTAGGCCTGTATATTGGCCCGGTCACAAACATTTACCAGAAACAGGAAGTATGTTGTCATTAATTCAGTGAGTTCCTTTGTGCTCTCCAACAAAATCTCCTTTTTTTTTTGTCTCCATTTGTCCCCGTAGATAAAATATAATTACCCACATGCCACGGAAAGGGCGTTAAAGCTCAGTTAACAAAGGACTTATCGTTTATGAATTACTGAAGGAGCGTTAAAGCCCATCAATCCATCTTCATCCGCTTTATCTTTATGGCCATAGGTCAGAGGGTAGGAACGTAGATCGAACAGTAAATTGAGAGCTTCACCTTATAACTCAGCTCCTTCTTCACCACAACGGACCGATACAGAGATTGCATCGCTGCAGATGCCGCACCAATCTGGCTGTCAACCTGCCGCTCCATTTTTCCCTCACTCATGAACAAGAACCCGAGATACTTAAAACTCCTCCACTTGAGGGAGCACCCAACCCAGGGAAGGCAATCCACGTTTTTCCAATTGAGAAGCATGGCCTCAGATTTAGAGGTGCTAATTCTCATCCCCGCCACTTCACACTCAGCTGCAAACCCCTCGAGTGCACGCTGTAGGTCTTGAACTGATGAAGCCAACAGAACCACATCATCCGCAAAAAGCAGGGATGAGATTCTGCGGCCACCAAAACAGAAACTCTCCATTCCCTGGCTGGCCCTAGAAATTCTGTCCATAAAAATAATGAACAGAATTGGTGACAAAGGGCAGCCTTGGTGGAGTCCAACATGCATCGGAAACGGGTCTGACTTACTGCCGGCAATGCGAACCAAGCTCCTACTCCAGTCATACAGGGAATGGATAGCCCGTAACAACAAGCCCCATAATCCCAAAGTACCTCCCACAGGATGCCACAAGAGACACGGTCGAATGCCTTCTCCAGATCTACAAAACACACGTAGACTGGTTGGGAAAACTCCCATGAACCCTCCAACACCCTAGTGAGGGTATAGAGCTGGTCCAGTGTTCCACGACCGGGGCGAAAACTGCACTGTTCTTCCTGGATCCAAAGTTCGACTATCAGCTGGATTCTCCTCTCCAGTACCCAGGGATAGACTTTCCCAGGGAGGCTAAGAAGTGTGACCCCCTTATAGTTGGAACACAGTCTCCAGTCCCCCTTCTTAAAAAGGGGGACCACCACCCCAGTCTGCCAATCCAGAGGCACTGTCCCCAAACTCCATACAATGCTGCAGAGGCATGTCAGCCAAGACAGCCCCACGACATCCATAGATTGACAAACGCGAGGCAGACCTGATCCACCCATGGAGCCTTGCCACTGAGGAGTTCCTTAACTACCTTAGCAATTTCAGCCAGGGTAATGGGCAAGTCCCCTCCCGAGTCTTTCTCCAAAGCCTCACCAAACTCCTCCCAGGCCTGAGTTTTTACCATGGTGACTGCCAGAGCTGCGTCCCGCTTGGCCTGTCAGTACCTGCAAGCTGCTTCAGGAGTCCCATGAGCCAACCAGGCCCGATAGAGCTCCTTCTTCAGCTTGACGGCATCCCTTACTTGTGGTGTCCACCACCGTGTTTGGGGATTGCTGTCGAGGCGAGCGTTAAAGCAAACAAATTAGTTTAATCACCTACATGTTACTGCAGGAGCATTAAAGCCCAAAATAACTGAATCACCTACAGACTACTGAAAGAGCATTAAAGCCCAGTAGACAAAATAGTCTAATCATCTACACGCTACTTAAAAAAACACAAAAATCTACCAGACAGAATGTCTTAATTATCACTGAAATAATGTTGAAGCCCATTAGATAAAATGCTTTTATCATTAGGCACTAATGAATGGGCATTAAAGCAGACAAATTATCTTAAGTGAAGGTTAAAATCCACTAGGCAAAATGATTATATGACCTTAAAACACAGTGGATGGAATAATTTAATCACTTACAGGCTACTGCATGAGCGTTAAAGCCTGGTAGACAAAATACTTTAATCACCTACATGCTACTGCAGGAGCATGCACCATCAAAGCACAGGAAATGAAATAACTTAATCACCTACATGTTATAGAAGGGGTGCTAAAGCCAAATGGACAAAAATGCCTTAATCGCTTAAGAAGTAAGAGCTAAATTCCAACCCACTTAAGCTTAAACTTAATTCTCAGACTTCTCAAAACCGAAAACACTACATAATTTAATCCAATTTACAAGCCTTAAACACCTACACACCATCGCATTCAATTCAAAATACAACAACTTTTAGGAAGAATTAACTTTAAAACCACTAAAATCATATTAAAACCCAATATACAATATAACCATATCACGGACTTCTACTTAAAACTCCAAAAAATGAATAAATACATTTTTTTTTTAAATTCAGACTTAAAATCACCCTAACCTCCCTAACACCTAAAATTCAGCCCAGCTCATTCCCTTTTCTTACTCTAGCCACAACCATTTCATAATCATAACCTACTACCTTGGACCACCCAACCCCTGGCCCCCACCTCAACCACCTCAAACCCTGGCCTAATCTTAACCACTCCACCCCCTAGAAAACGGCAAACTCTAAACAATGTCTTGGACCCCACCCCCTCTCCCCTTATACCCAGCCCATACCCCTACCCTAAACAAAACCACTCCATATTTAAAGCCCTAATCATAACCCCTGGCCTTAGACCACCCTACCCTTTACACACAGCCCATACCTTTGCCCTAACCATAACCATCCCAACCCTAACACCTTAAACTTAACCCCCACCCTTAGATCCAAAACCCATTTCCTTAACACCCAGCCCATACCCTTATCCTGACCATAACCATCCCAAGCCCAACGCCTAACACTTAACCCTTGACCCCAAAATGAACACCCCCCGCACGCTACATAGACACACACACAATACACATCGAAACTTAATTGCGCCCCAACCGAACCCACACCTAAACTGGACCAGGCAGAAAATGAAACAAGAAATTAAAATTACAAATATACTAAAACTCAATTGGAGAACACACCATTACATGACCCAGAGTGACAAGTGTCGGCCTGTGCCTTCACCTTTGACCCTCCATCTCAGGCCATATAGTCAACAGATAGATGATTACAGGGAGAGTTGAAGACTTTCCTAACATCCGAACCATGTTATCACCCTAAAATTCAATGATTTCCTTGTCGGTACTAGCTTCTGGTCCCCACAAGGATGGCTGAGTCCCCACAGTGTGAGTGTTTTAACATGAACCACACAGTGGTGGCTCTGAACAGTTCTTTTAACATGAGACTGTTACACCCCCAGTGTAACAAGGAGCATTACCGCAGGTCATTCCTCCCCACAGCCATCAGACTGTACAACACATCACTGCAGTGATAAGATAGGTGAAACTATGAGGGACTATGCAATAATCTACTGTGGTGCAATATTTCAGCTCCTGGGGGTGAAATGCATTGTAAATAGGCTCATGTGTAATATCTTGTTCCTGATCTCTCTCAAATACTGTACATTGCCCTGCTTTAGGTATTTTTGAGTAGTTGCTCAGAGATCCTTATGGCTGAAACACAGGTTTCTTTCCCCCATTGTGGGATCAGTTGTGTGAGTAATATTCGATTGTTCTTGATTTCCTGGTTGTTTAGTCTCTACTGCTGTTCCTGATTCTCTCTAGTGCTGCTTTGCCCTGTTTTTAGGTGGCTTTGATTTGCTTATTTGTGCTGTGTAAAATGTAACGTTCTGATGACGCTACTTTTATAATCCTTGTGCGTATCGGTCCTAATGCTTTATTGCCTTTATGTAACTTTTTATTCTAAGACTAAGTGTTCTGTGTTACTACATACTTACATACGCATGTGCCGCGTGGAGTGGCAGCAAGTTACAGCAGCTGTGTCCTCATGTTCTTTTCCGTGTTTCTATGAAGTTCTGTTCTTATATGTCTTATGGTGGTGTCTGTTCTTATGGTGTTATGTTGGTTGTTCTCTATTGCTGCTGTAACATAGAAATTTCCCCACTGTGGGATCAATAAAGTACCTACTCTACTCTACTCTACTCTACTCTACTTATGTTTCGGTCCTCATGATGTAAGTAATACAAAGGAACACACACTTTAAGAATGATTCAAACCAATCTGTGAAATGATAAAACATGAATGGAGAGGTACAAACACGCACAGACGCAGGTGAGAAATGTTTACTGAAATCTTTTTACACTACATTCAGATGGGGGGGCTGGAACCTATCCCAGCTGACAATGGGCGAGAGGCATGGTACAGGTCACCAGTCTATTACAAGACTCACACCTTGAGACGGTACCTTTCTGCAGATACAGTGGGTACGGAAAGTAGTCAGACCCCCTTAAATTTTTTACTCTTTGTTATATTGCAGCCATATGCTAAAATCATTTAAGTTCATTTTTTTCCTCATTAATGTACACATAGCACACCATATTGACAGAAAAACACAGAATTTTTGACATTTTTGCAGATTTATTAAAAAAGAAAAACTGAAATATCACATGGTCATAAGTATTC